TGTTTTGTCCACCTTTTTTCACCACCTTCTTTTGTCACTCTAATTTTTTTTATTGTTGATGATTTTCCTACAGTAGTCTTGTATATGCCTACAAGTCTGATACTGTGCGTATTTAATAAAAGAAGACGCTGAATATTCGCTGAATTTTTTGCTCTTAATAGTTTATTTTATTGCTCGCTTTTATATACAGGTTTTTTAAAACTCTTCATCTAACCTTGGTTATTCATCAATTGCTTTTCCTTTCTCCTCTTTTTTTTTGGACAACATATTTCTGAATCGCAAGTTTTTCCCAGATTTTTGACTATATTAGTATCATAGCGGTCTGACCTAGATGCAACGAACTGTGTAAATGAGCAGTTGCTGATAACTGGAGTTTCTGCAAATACTTGACAAATCTTAAAATTTTCTTGAAACTAATAAGTATCTGTTACCGATCTATGGTAGCATTGATCGACATTAATAAATTTAGAAAAAAATTTCTATTTATTTTTGAGCCATATATTGTATTCCTCCCTTTGCTTCTTTCAGAAGAAGAAGCGAAAAAAAAAAGGTATCATACAGTTTATTTATTGAACTGAAATTGTATTTTAACTGAGAAAACATTTATTTGGCGGTTTTCAGTCAAATTTTTTTTTTAATCAATCAGTATAAACAGTTGTAAAATAGTTCTTTGTTTGTGGTTAAATTAAATTAAATTTGATGAAAATCGCCACGAAAGCGTCGTATGGTATTCGTGTAGGTGTTTTTTTTTCATACTTCAATTGGTTGTTGTTGTCGTTATTGTTGCTATGATTACAGTTACGGTTATGGTATCATAACAGCTGACAAAGTTCAAATGGAAGAGAACAAGTACAATGGCAATAAAAATTGGGGAACAAATAAAAATAAAGAAAAACAACGAACATTTAATAAAAATAAATTTTAAAAAAAATGAAAAAACTGAAGACTGTAATATGCAAAGAAAAAAATTTTTTTTTCTTATAATTAATAGAAACACTTTAGACCAACTTTTTGTTGTTTGTTCAGTAAGAGCAATATTATCAGCATCGTCACCTGCAACAACAGTGGTAACTTCTGTAGACCATAGATCAACAACAGTAGAAGCAACAGAAAAAAAAAAATACATCAATAATTTATCTAAATTGCAATAATTTTTTTTTAATTCCATTTTTATCATCTAAATCAATGCCTTTTTAAGCTTTCAGAAACTATTTGTTTGTCATATGATAGCAGTATACCACCAATAACCACCACTATCTACAATAACAGCAATAATAACAATAAATAGCAGTAGCAGTTCTGAAAGCTTGATCTTAAAAACATCAACAAAAGTTCCTACAAAAATGACCTTTTCGTTGTGGATAGCAGTAAAGTAGAATGAAACTGGTGATTTTCTCTGTCTAAATGATATGCCAGGATTAACACACTGCACAACTAAACATATGTTTAGCGTTTACATAGCAAAACGATGTTAAACAACTTAATCCCCATTGTTACTGTCTAAGATTGGTCCCATAAACGTCACATTCGCTCCGTTTCGTCTGAGCTATTTGATTAAAAAGAAAAATGTTAAGTTTACTGTTTTGTTTTTTTACCTTTTTGTTCTTTTTTCGCTATAATACATACAAAAAATAAATAAATAAATAGATGAATAAAACCTAAAGCAAAAGATGAAAAAAAAGTTTTCTATAAAAAAAATAAGAGTATTGAAAATTTAGTTAAACTAAAATAATCAAGAGAATTATAATAATAGTAGAAATATTGATGGTTACATTGATAAGACAAATAGCAAAGATATTGAGAATTAAATTAAATAATTTTGCTAAATAATTAAAGTTTGTCTTTTTTTTTTAAGCTTACCAATTTTTAAAAATTGCAAAAAAAAAAAGAATTCTTTTTGTTCTACATTCATTGATTTTTTTTTAGGTAATTAATTGAATTGTTAACTTGTGATTTGGTTATACGATTAGTATTAGTTAACTGTATTTGCAGTATAAACCGAATGACCGGTATATCTGTGTGTAGTTTTGCTCTGTTGGTAACTGTAGAAGTTGAAGTTTCAGTTACAGCTGTGTTGTAATTGATGTTGCGCTGCTACTGATTGGTATCTGAGTTGTAGTGGTCGTTGCTGCTGTTGTTGTCGAGATAATTGTTTCTTGAAAATTTTGTCGTAATTTTTTTAATTCATCTATTTTCATCATTTTATCAAATTTTCTTGTCCAATCTACACCTAAAAATAAAAATAAAAAATGAATAAAAAGAAAGAAAAAAAGCGCATAATTAAGTTTATGACTAAATTTTTGATGACTAACTGTACAGTGCATAGAATGACTAACGACGAAGAAGGTATCATCATAGAAAATTTGTTCTTCCTATCCTCAAAATGGTTCTTTTTATTTTCCAACTGAATAAAAAGCTGTAATCTACAGCATTTGGTTGCATTTTGTGAAATGTTTAGGATATAATCAGACTGAATTTACACAAAAAAAAAATAGCAATAAAAAGTGCATATTGTCAGTGAACGTCAAAATTTAATGTAAATCTAAATTTGAAATTTGATTACTTAGGTATTAGCAAAACTGACAACTAAACGATACAAAAGAAAATTGAGGAAAAAATGCCAAATATTTTTCTTCATTATTTTGTTGTTATTTTGAAAAAAAAAAAAACATGACTGTGGTTTAAACAAAACAGTAAACAGTCATGTTTTTTTTTTTTGCTCTTGTTTTTATTTCTTTTTTTCCTCTCCCTTCAATGTAAATATGAATATACGTCTCACCAAATTTGCTCTTTATTTGCATCCCAATAATAGCAGATACTGTTTCTTTTTTGGTTCACCATTTTTTTTCTTCTGTTTTTTTTTTTTTCAATAAAGTAAGAATAAGTTTGATCAAAGTAGAAACAATAATAATAATAATAATAAACTCCTTCAATGAATAAAAAACTGTTGTTTTTTATCAAAAAACTGATTACTCAAACACAGCAGTTTGCCGACACAGTTAATAAATTAAAATGGTGTAATCGGCGACAAGAAAGCAATGAAATTTATAGACAACCATAAAAAAAGGTAAAAATTGAAAAAAAAAACTTTTTTCTAATTAGTTGACAAAAATTGTTGTTTTCGACTAACAAATAAAATAGGTTAAGTAACATACACTATTGCTAACGTCATTTTTTCAACAATAACTTTCTACCGTTTTCTTCTTTCTGTTCTTTTCTGAAGAAAAAAGAAGGATTTTTAGATAAAGAATTTCTGCTAGCAAACAGAAAAAAAAAAGTTTTCTTCATAGATACTTTATATTTTTTTCAAGTTTAATTTGAAGTATGTTTTTTTTTTTTTTTTAGCAATCAAATTTGGGGGGTTCAGAAGAGGTTTAGTAGACCTGTAAATTAATTACAGCAAAAAAAAACAAAATTTTGAAACCACTGTTATAAAGTTTCTGCATAACCCTATTTTTTTTCATTAATTTATTTAATCTTCAACTGTTCAATGAAAAAAGTGATAGTTCAGTAGCAAAAGGATGTTTTCAGTGTCTGCAATAACTGTTTGAAGTTTCAGTTTTGAAAAAATTTTCAATGAAGTTAAAAAGTTCTTTTCTTGACTT